CCTGTAGTCCCAGCTACGTTGGAGGCGGAAACAAGAGAATCTCTTGAGCCCAAGAGTTTGAGTTTGCTGTAGCTGTGACGCCAGGGCACTTACTGAGGGGAACAAAGTGACATTCTTGTCCCACAAAAAGAAAAAAAAAAAAGGCCGGGCGCGGGGACTCACGCTTGTATTCCTAGTCCTCCAGGAGGCCAAGGCAGATTGCTAGATTGCTTGAGCGGACGCTTGAGCAAAAGCAAGACCCTATCTCTACTAAAAAATATAAAAACTGAAGCAAAAGGATCTCTTAAGCCCGAGTTGGAGGTTGCTGTGAGCTATGACCCGATGGCACTTTACCCTGGGAGACAGCTTGAGACTCTGTCTCTAATAAATAAATAAATAAAATATCTTCTGGCTTGAAACTAAAGTCCAAACACAAGCATTCACAGCCTTTTACAATCTGCAAAGGTTTTAATCAAGTAAATATTTCAAGTTTCTTAAGGATATAAATTCTAAAATTAAAAGCCTTTGTATTTAAAAAAAAAATGCCTTTGGATTTATGTAGTAATCAAAATACCTCCTCTACTCTCAAAACTGATTGTCAACATTGCCTAGACCAGAAGAATTAAAAGCTTCACTTTCTGCTTTCATAATACCATTGTGCATAGTGTTATGCCTGGAGATAAAAAATGAGAACATATATACCCCATTGCTGTCATAGCCATTCATACATTTATTTTAGACAAGGTATCACTCTGTCACCCACACTGGATCGCAGCAGCACTGGGCATTAACATAGCTCAGTGCAACCATGACTTTCTGGGAATAAGTAATCCTCCTGCCTCAGCCTCCCCAGTAGCTAGGACCAGAGGCATGCACCACCGTGCCTAGCTACTTCTCCCCCCCCCCCATCCAGACTCTCACTTTGTCACCCTGAGTAGAGTGGTGTTTCTCAAATTCTTGGGCTTACACAATTCTCTTGCCTCAGCCTCCCAAGTAGCTAGGACCACAGCCCACCCCCTCTTCCCCTCCCACAACACCCCGCTAACCTAAGTTTTTTTTTTTTTTTTTTTTTGCCTAGGTACTTTTTAAAAAATTGTTTTAGAGAGGGCATCTTGCTCATTGCCCAACCTGGTCCAAAATCCTAGTATCCTCCCACCTCAGCCTCTCCCAAAGAGCCAAGATTACAATGTAAGCCACTGCACTCTGCCTGCTGTCATTTACATTTTTAGTACAAAAATGATTTTTCAAACACTTTGCAATAGTACAAAAGTGATTTTACGTTAAATTTAATACAATTTTTTTTTTGAGACAGAGTCTCACTATGTCGCTCTTGGTAGAGTGCCATGGTGTCACAGCTCACAGCAACCTCAAACTCTTGGCCTTAAGTGATTCTCTTGCCTCAGCCTTCTAAGTAGCTGGGACTACAGTGCCCACCACAATGCCCGGCTACTTTTTTATTGTAGTGGTCGTTGTTTAGCAGGTGTGGGCCAGGTTCAAACCTATCAGCCCCAATGTATATGATCAGTGCCCTACCCACTGAGCTGTGGGCTCCACCATAGAAGTTGTTTTTTAATTGAAAATATGCTTTATGGGTGGCGCCTGTGGCTTAGTGAATAGGGCGCCGGCCCCATATACCAAGGGTGGTAGGTTCAAACACAGCCCCAACCAAACTGCAACAAAAAAAAAAAAAAAAAAAAAGGAAGAAAAAATATGCTTTAACAACCAAAAAAAAAACAAACCCTGTCATACATTGAACCATGTGCATACATACTGCTTGTAGACCAAGTTCAATGGTAGGTAGAGTATAACAATATTTTAGCTTCGGCTCAGCACCTGTGGCTCAAGTGGCTAAGACACCAGCCACATACACCTAAGGTAGCAGGTTCGAATCGAGCCTGGGCCCGCCAAAACAACGAGGGCTGCAACCAAAAAATAGCCAGGCACTGTGGTGGGCATCTATGGTCCCAGCTACTTGGGAGGCTGAGGCAGGAGACTCACTTGAGCCCAGGAGTTGAAGGTTGCTGTGAGCTGTGATGCCACAGCACTCTACCCAGGGGGATAGCTTGAGGCTCTGTCTCAAAAAAAAAAAATTTTTTTTTAGCTTCCAGTATTGCCAGTCACAAGGGACTGAAGGCCTCATGCACCCCTTAGAAGACAAAATTGGCCAACAAAAATAGTATTCCTTTCTTTCTCGAGATGTGGTTAAATAAAGCAGATATCCCCAAAGTAATGAAAACTCATTTCAAGTAATCTGCTTATATTTTATTTACATAGTAATCATTACAAGTGGTTTTTAGTGAATTTCTTATTTACATTTTATATATACATTTATACTTGAAAAGTAAAGAAACTGTACAATAAAAAAAGGAGAAAAAAATACACTAACTTAGGTCCAACTCAGGAAACAAATACATAAAAGGTTAAATTTAGGCAGGTTGTAATAACCTCAATGAAATTACCACCAGAGGTTACATTCCCTCTATCAGGAACACCCACCAAAGAAGGAGTTACCAGAGTTAAAAGGTCATTCTAAAACCTCTTACGACAGTGGACACTGCCTCAATATTTTATTACACCACCAGTTTCCAGTAACCAAACCCCAAAGACAGGAGTTAACCTTTTGAGGGTTCCACTAGTAGTCCTTAGGCTAGAATGATCTATGTGGTAAAAATGTATGGGACTCGCTGGTCCCACACTCCTAACAAGGCAGTCACTACACTAACAAGGATCTCAGCCTTATTAGTTTAAAGACTCTATATTAGCAGAAACAGTGTGCTTAAATGTTGTTTCAAACCAAACTGCAACATTAAAACACACTATAAATCTATTATTAACAAAATGGCATGTATCTCTCATAATACTCAAGTGACTTAAGTTCAAAAAGTAAACATAATAACTTTTAATGCCAATTTACCAGTGATTAATAATTTCTTTATCCACAATACTATATCAGTTAGATTCAGAAAAAAAGTTAACTTTACCTTTTTCTTTTACTCTTATTTCCATTGATTAGAAAAAAATATGCATAGTGTTTTATAAGTCACAGACTTAGCTATATATTAAGATTTAAAATTTCAAACTGGAATAAGCAAATACTGTTTCTAGAGATAGAGGAATTTTAACTAAAAAATTTAAAATCTCCCCAAATGGCATGCTATTTAAGAACTCTCAGGAAAAAACAGAGAAAAACCTCATTTATATTTTTGGACATACTCCCAAAGTCAAGTCTTCATTCCACTAAAGTGCAAAGAGCTTTCCTTCTACAAGTGATTTAGTTCTCTTAATGTTAATTACTAGATGAACAATTTGTTAGAATAGAACCGGAAAAGCTAAAACTCTTTTGAATGATAGGAATTCCTTAAGGAAGAGAAAAAAATTTCCCTTTAAAAACAAATAGACACAGTATTGTGGAAAAATACCTAAACAAACACGCAATCTCCCACCAATATTTCTAGTTCCCAGACAACCCAAATTTGCCCCAACCTATGAATAAAGACAAACATCTTAGTGACTTAAATAATTTACAACCACAGTTGCTTATTCTTGGTTTACAATGTCTTCAAAACATAGAACTGGAGATAATATAATATCTATATAAAGTATTTTGGAGGTCAAAGTATTTAACATACCTACTGTAACCTCCAAAGTGCCTTGTGGTAACCGTTACAAAAGAAAAGATGTAAAAATTTGAAGTATCTCCAAAACTATTTAAAAAATTTATTGCATTAAACTATTCACTCCAAATTATGGAGTATCAATAAACCATTTAAACTTTCTCCTTTGAAAAATGGCTCTCCTTATAAAATACTTTTTTATTAATACTGTTAAAGTTATTTTCATTTACTTCAGCCATGGAATTTTACACTGGCAGTTTTCCACCTCTTGATTCTTGATTTCTCCAACATTTTATTTTTGATTTTATTTTAGAATAATTTTTATAATTTTATTCATTATTATTATTATTTATTTCAAATTAATATGAGGGTACAAATTTTTAGGTTACAAGATAGTAGTATATGTTCTCACTTCCAAGATTTCTCCAACATTTTCTTCCATGCCTTTTACAAAGGAAACAAAAAACTTCTTTCTCAAAAACTTTTTTTATATTTTAGTTAGTCTGTCAGTTTTGAAGATCAGCTTTTTAGAGCAGGACTGTTCTTGTCTCCTTCTTTAATATCCTTCATTACAGATGCAAAGACCTGGAAATTATATAAAATAGAGATTAATCCTCTAAACTACCACCTACATTAAAGGCATTTTTTTGAGACAGACTCTCAAGTTGTTGCCCTAGGTAGAGTGCCATGGCATCATAGCTCAGAGGAACTTCCAACTCTTAGGCTCAAGCGATCCTCTTGCCTTAGTTTTTCTATTTTAGTAAAGATGGGGATCTCATTTTTTTTCCCCAGGTTGGTCTCAAACTTGTGAACTCAAGCTGTCCACCTGCCTTAGCTTCCCAGAGTGCAAGGATTACAGGCATTAGCCACCTCACCAGGCCCATTAAAGACATTTAAATAAGACTGGGCAGTGGCTCAAGCCTGTAATGCTGGCACTCTGGGAGTCAGAGGCAGGTGGATTGCCTAAGCTCACAAGTTTGAGAGCAGCCTGAGCCAGAGCGAGACCTCATTGCTAAAAATAGCCAGGCATTGTGGTGGGCACCTGTAGTCCTAGCTACTCCGGAGACTGAGGCAAGAGAATCGCTTGAGCCCAAGAGTTTGAGGTTGCTGTGAGCTATGACACTACGGCACTCTATCAAAGCTGACAAAGTGAGACTCTTGTCTCAAAAAAGAAAAGAAAAGACATTTAAATAACTATAGTTATAAAAATGAAAAAATTTTAGTGTGCTTAGCTCTGTCCCTTGAAAGATTGCCATTTTTCAAGTCCTCTTATCCTTTAAATCCAATTTTCTAGACTATGTTTAGATTCCAATTTTAATCATTTGCTAAATACTATAAAATTACTATTTGAAAACAAGATTTTTTTGATGAATATTCCTACATTTCATTTCATAAGCAACAAATGCCAATTCTGTTGTTCATGGATTAAGGGATGTCTTTTATGTCACTTCACTTAGATTGCTAATGTTTTCCCTAATAAGATTAAGCATATAAAAGCCAAGATCATACATTATCCTTTCTACTTCATATCCTTAGTACAGAGCAGGTGTTTATTATTAAAACTGCTGTCCAGGTAGGTATTCTTCCTTTTTTTTCTTTGGATGCCACACCATTCTCTTACTTCTTCCTACCTCCCACCCCTCCCTTCTCTCCTACTCCCAGCTCTCTGCTCTCTTCTCTCTCTCTTATTCATCTCTTCCCCCCATTCTCTTCCATATATAAAGTAAACTTATACTTGTATATCTTAAAAAACTGCTATTTATTTGAAATATTGAAGTAGGCTCGGCGCCTGTGGCTCAAGCGGCTAAGGCGCCAGCCACATACACCTAAGGTGGCGGGTCCGAATCCAGCCCGGACCGCCAAACAACAATGATGGCTGCAACCAAAAAAAAATAGCCAGGTATTGTGGCGGGCGCCTATGGTCCCAGCTACTTGGGAGGCTGAGGCAGTAGACTTGCTTGAGCTCAGGAGTTGGAGGTTGCTGTGAGTAGTGAAGCCACGGCACTCTACCCAGGGGGACAGCTGAGGCTCTATCTCAAAAAAAAAGAAATATTGAAGTAATAACTGGTCTGGCAAATAAATGACTATTGTGGTTGTACTTCACTAAACTCATAAAATATTACTGGCCTTACAGAAAAATAAAGCCGTAGGTTTAGATAGGTGAGAAGGGGGCAATCTGTTTCAAACTCTTGCTTTTTTGAAATCAAAGTTTTTTTTCAAAGATACATATTTTTTAATTTAAGCATTACATTTGAAAAATGCATACATTTTTTCATTATTCAGACATCAAGGTACAAAAATACAAGGTGGCCATAAAATTTGTATGCAATTTAAAATAGTTATCTATTTTTTTTAAATGCACATAAAAAAATAAATGCACATGAACTTTTATTTATTTTTTTTTTTTTGAGACACTATGTCACCCTCAATAGAGTGCTGTGGCATCACAGCTTACAGCAACCTCAAACTCTTGCGCGTAAGTGATTCTCTTGCCTCAGCCTCCCAAGTAGCTGGGACTACAGGCACCAGCCACAATGCCCAGCTGTTTTTTGGTTGTAGTTGTTGTTTGGCAGGCCCAGGCTGGGTTTGAACCCACCAGCTCTGGTGTATGTGGCTGGCACCCTGGCCGCTGAGCTATAGGCTCCAAGCCAAAAATGCACATGAACTTTATGGCCACCCTGTATATAATGTTTTTATAAGAAGTAACTAATTACTTTAATACATCTATTACCAATAGAAAAATGCCACTCTACCTGAGTCCATTTTTTGGTGCTATTCTGCATTTGAATGGCTGCAATACAGCTGAATAGCTTTTCTGATGTGATATCTTCTGGTAATTTAGTTAGAAACTGTGCTATATGAATAAAGTCCATCTGTAGGAGAATATCTTCATATAATCGGAGGATTCCTAATCCAGTCCTAAATAAAAATTCTTCCCCATCTCTGCAAAATACATCCCAGACTCGACAGGCCAGATCAAGTGGTAGTGATTTGCTATATAGTGTGAAGATCCTAAAAATAGGGGGGAAATGATCATTGAAATTTTTCATTCACTGATTCATTTACTCAGCATTTCTATAGGAAAGGAACAGTGCTTAATTTGGGATAAAAAAAGGCAAATAAACTGTGGCTTCTTCCCTCAAATTTAGGTACTGAGAAAACTAATAAATAGCAAAATTAAGTGAATTTACAACCTTACATAGAGGAAAAGCCTAACACAAATTAGGGTAGCCGAACAACCTAGTAGTTAAGGGTATGGGTTCTAAAACCAGAATGCCTCAGTCTGAACTTGTCACTTATTGGTTACCTTGAGCAAAATATGTTCCTCACTATGCCTCAGCTTCTTCATTAATAAACTAAAGATAATATTACCTACTTCTCAGGATTGTTTTGAAAATTAAAGCAGTTAATATATGTAAAGTGTTTAGAATAGTGTTTGGCATATAAGAAATGCTCAGTAAAAGTTACTGTATGATAAACTCAAGTATCATCCTTTAGTAATCTATAGTAATACAAACGCATTAAATCTGACCTCTCTTTTTTCTTCCCTTTCCACAAACATCCATTTTTTAATTTTGTTTTTCCCCCTCCTCTAAGCTTTACTTACTACTTCTCTTGAAGCATGTATACCTTCCAACAGAATCACCAAAATGGTTTTTCCCATTCTTTTTGACAGTGTCTGACCATGTAATTCTTTATCCAGTGATGCTTTGGGAGGCATTCTAGTTGGGGAAGTGGAGAGAATCGGTGCTAGAGGACTTGAAATTGCCTTGACAATAAAGGTACAGTTTTTTATACTGTGTGTTTCTGTGAAGTACAGTACAGCTGACAGAATTGGAGGAAGGGAACTAAAACAAACCCCTTTAGCACTGCCACTTAATCATTCCTATCTTATGAAAATGATTCTGGGATTTGTATATAATAAGCTCAACAGAGGTGGTTAAAGTCCATTTTTATTTCTTAAATTATAAAACCCAGATTTAGGCCAGGGACAGTGCCCTACCACTGAGTGAATCCTGAATCCTAGCACTTTGGGAGGCTGAGGTGGGTGGACTGCCTGAGCTCACAGGTTTGAGACCAGCCTGAGCCAGAGCAAGACCTCACCTCTAAAAATAGCCAGGCATTGTAGCTACTTGGGAGGCTGAGACAAGAGAATTGCTTGAGCCCAAAAGTTTGAGGTTGCTGTGAACTGCGACACTATAGCACTCTGGGGTGGGCGTGTGGCAACAAAATGAGACCTTTTTTTTTTTTTT